TGCTGAACTGGGGCCTGCTCATAACTTGTTCGGGATCTCATAAGGGCTACCAAACTGATCCCTGCCTCTTTTTTTTTTCCCCTCTTTTACAGGAGTAACAACGGTCCTCACCATGACCACCTTAAGTATCAGTGCCCGTAACTCTTTGCCAAAAGTGGCCTACGCTACTGCAATGGACTGGTTTATAGCTGTCTGCTATGCCTTTGTATTTTCTGCGTTGATTGAATTTGCAACAGTCAACTATTTCACCAAGAGGAGTTGGGCATGGGATGGCAAAAAAGCCCAGGAAGCTGCTAAAATCAAGGTGCTTACCTGACATTTTTTAAAATATCTAGAATAAAAAGCAGTTACTCAGCATAGTTCAAATAACTGACTCGACAATTTTCATCTTCTTCATGAAAAAGGTGTTTTATTAACTCATGACATACTTTCACCTTCCTGTAGAGGAAAAATTGCAAGGAAATATGCCTTCTTCTTTTCACAGAGATAGACTATCAGTCTCCACCATCTGTAGGAGTGGACTGTTTTCAGGAGGGTATAGGGCACTGAGTATAGGTGGCATGGGATTTCAGTGACCAAACTTCTGATAATCTGATAATAAGTAAACATGTACTATGAAACATATCTCTGCAGAGCACTCCATGTGCGCTCTCCCAAATAAATGACAAAGCTCACATTGAGCTCCATTGAGCTCAGATTGAGCTCATCACTCCAATCTTCAAAAAAGGCAAGAAGGAGGACCCAGGGAACTACAGACTGGTTAGTCTCACATCAGTCCCTAGGAAGTTAATGGAGCGACTCGTTCTGGATGTCATCTCCAAACATATTGAGGAACAGGAAGTTATTGGAAATGGTCAACACGGATTTACCAAGGGTAAATCATGCTTGACCAATTTGATGGCCTTCTATGATGTTGTAACTGGTTGGCTGGATGGGGGGAGAGCCATAGATGTCATCTACCTTGACTTTAGCAAGGCTTTTGACAGTGTCTCCCGTAACATCCTCATTAGGAAGCTGAGGAAGTGTGGGATAGATGAGGTGACAGTGAGGTGGATTGAGAGCTGGCTGTGTGACAGAACTCAGAGGGTTGTGATCAGTGGCACGGAGTCTAGTTGGAGCTTGTAACCAGTGGTGTCCCCCAGGGGTCAATACTCAGTCCAATTTTGTTCAATAAATTCATCAATGACCTGGATGAGGGGACAGAGTGTATCCTCAGCAAGTTTGCTGATGATACCAAACTGGGAGGGGTGGCTGACACTCCAGAGGGCCACGCTGCCATCCAGCGTGACCTG